ATTATTTCAATATCCATTGAAATGTTTTATTATTGGGGCTACCAGCTCAGGAAGCCATGCTAGGTTTAGCTATTGTCCCCCCATGTAAATCTTGGCAAACGTTTGGTATTGGTTTGTAATGCAGTCACAAATAAAGCAGTAGGTTGGAGGGGGATGGCCTTCCCTTGACCTGGACATCAGGAAATCCCAACCAGTTCCTTTTTGAATGGTGGCATGGGATTTTTTTAAAAAAAATGCCTATCTGAGTTGGCAGAAAAGCTCTCAGTCTAATGTTTTGCCCCAAAGTTGGCACTTGTGGCAATGCAGCTTGCCAGCAATATTACACTGAAGCATCAGCTGAGCTAAGTCACTGGAGAGGTGTAAGATGGTTCTGCACAAGCAAGTCCGACATATATAACAGTGGACTTCTAAGAATCATCATCGTCACCATCATAGAACCTAAGAGCTCATTATCTTCTCAGCAGTTTGCCTGAGATTGGAAATTTAGCACATCTGAAATCGAGGCTACTTCTTTTAGCTATAGTGGTGACCGAATGCTATTCCACCCTTCATCCAGATATCATTGCAATTGCAGAGATGAGGAAAATGCTGGCGTTTCGTTGTGGTATTTCTTCAACGTTCTCTACCATTCTCAAATTGGTCACTTATAAAAATTATCGACGGCCTCAGCTCATCAAATTAAACTTTCAAACTGAAGGTTTAACTGAGTGAAAAGCGATCCCTGGTGTCTGATCTCCATGTATTCTGTCTTTCAGCTAGCTCAACACAGGGATCAACCCCCAAGAATGTTGCAGTGGACCCATGGAGTGCCTCAGCTGTTACTATGAACACATACTCACAGACTGTCAGTCCTGAAGTCAGTGCAATTGTTCCAGGTTTCCCCAGCCCTCAATCTGTCGATATTCAGAGCTCACCAGAGTCCATGACCAGTGCTCAGCTTGTGGATAGTCCAACCTCTCCAGTCTCTGTGGACAGTGAGAGACTAGGTACATCACACTGATATCTAATCAGTTACTAATCAAGTTGGCATTAGCTTGAGTAGTGCTACAAGGGGTGAGAAGCTTTAGCTAGAGGTCATTTACACAGCACAGTGGAAAGCCAGACACCTAGTCTGCAGTCTCAAATGGAAGAAGGATACAGTTCTGAATCCTCTATTCAGCTGAGCTGCCAGATTTAGCTGCACATGGTAATGACAGGAAAACAAGGGATGGGGCTTGGGTTGCAGAATGAATGAAGTTACTTTGGTTCCTCAAGGCATTTGAAATACTTAATAAATAAATATTCTGGATAGAGATCTTGGGAGGAAATCATTGAGTATTACAGATTGTTGGCATATTTTCCAGTTTTCTCCTAAATTGCACAGCTGACTATTCCATATCAAAATTTTTGAGGCTGGATTTATTTTCATCCACATGATATTACCAAAGTTTCATAAGGAACAAGAGTAGGCCACGCTGCCATTTATTAAGACCACGGTGGATCATATTTTCAACCCTGAGATTCTTGCACAACTTTTTATCAAATTTATAAAGATGCCATATTTAAATCTCAGTTCCAATGTAAATGAGAGTCCTTTTGTGAAAAAAGTACATAAGACTGTTGCTTTCTAAAATTTTAATCTGATTTGGTTCCACAAATATAATTCACTTCCTCAGTCCTTCACCTAAGCCCAGCAGAGGCCTTTTTCTATCTGGTGTGGAATTGTGCACAACCCTGGGAAAATTAGCTAAAGAAAGCATGCAGTCACTTGGCTCTTGGTCAAATGGCATTAGCAATGTTTGTGGGAAGTTTAGAGCTTGTGAGAACTTCACTGAAGCAGGAAGCTACATGAGAGGCTGGGAGCAACGCAGGATGGAGAGAAAACATCAGCCAGAATATCTGACCTGCACTGACATTAATCCCTTTTCATGCTAGATCTCGAAATAGAGTCATCTGGTGAAGAATCATCAGGACCAACAAATCCAACAATCAAGTCATACGGCAAAACAAGTAAATGTTTAATTCCACATATTAACATCCAGTAAAATTACGTTGTGTTTGTTACTTGATGGGTTAAGTTAACAAGTAAATTGCAGAATTAAAAACAGAAAATCCTGATCAGCATCATTCTCATTTGATTTTGAGGTGTGACAAAGAGATTAATTTTAACAATATCAGAAATTAAAGTGTGTGTTAGTCTTGGCTGTAGTTACGCTGATTTTAGCTGTAACTTTGTCCATTGCTACACAGAGCTGACCCAAAGCTGAGTTGAGATCAGAGACGGTTTTGCGTTAAATTGAGAATTATAAACTGCACTGAAACCTTTGTGTTTTTGAGAAGTTCTCTGGATAACTAGGCAGAACTTTTCCTTGGCACATAGAATCACAGAATTTTATAGTACAGAAGGAGGCCATTTGCTCCATTGTGTCTTTTCCAGCCTTAGTCTTTCTCCTGCATTTGAGATATTCTTCCTGATTTCTATTACTATTCTGAAATGCATCATCTGCTTCCTTTTGTCTTTCTTATTTTCTTATCAATATCCTTAGTCATCCAGTGTACTCTAGCTTTGGATACCCCATAATTTACTTCTCCTAGGTATGTACCTAGCTTGCACCTTATTCATCTCTCTTTTGAAATCCCACAGTTTCATCCATTGTTTTATCCACCAAGATGCGTTTCTAATCACCTTCTAATCTGCTCCAGTTCAACATCTTAAACCCCTAAAATCTGCCCTTTTCCAGTCTGGATTCTTATTTGCTTCATTATTTCCTAGGTCCAGATCCAGCACAGCTTCCTCCCTGGTAGAACTGGAAATGTACTGTTCCAGAAAGCTCTCCTGCACACCTTGCAGGAATTTCTCCCCTTCTGTGGCTTATACTCTTACCTTTTTCCCAGCCTACTCTCGGATTATTGAAATCACCAACTGTCACAACCCTACTTGTCCTACAGGTTTCTATAATCTGCCAACAAATGCTGTCCTCTACTCTTACCCACTATTTAGAGGTCAGTAAAAAATATGCAACAAGGTCACCACACACTTCCTCTCACCTCCAACCATATTGATTCTAATTTAGGAACTACACTTCATTCAAGGGCTATGATACTATCTTTGACCGAGACTGCTATGCCTCCTCTCTTTGAGCTCACCCTGCTTTTGCTAAAAACCTTATAACCTGGGATGTTAAGTAACCAGTCCTGTTCTGACTTGAGCCATGTCTCTGTCAAAGCTATTATGTCATACCCCCCAGAGCAATTTCTGCTTCCAGTTCCCCAATTTTGTTCATCTACTCCATGCATTTACAATTTAATCCTCCCCTTATCTCTTTCTTGCCTGTTGAGAGGCAACGATTTCTTTGTTCACATCAACACGCAAGCCTTTCCTCACTTCTGTTTCCCCATTCCCCATCTTTTCTCTTTTGCCATCACTGGTACTTCCAAAACTAGGCCCATTAGTCAACCTACTCCCCTACCTTACAGGTTTAAATCAATCTCCACCAAACTATTTACTCTCAGATGGGAGAATAAAGAATCTAATAGCTGAATCTCACATGTCTCCAAATGGTTGTTTAAACCACAATAATTCATTTGGAGATGCAAGCGCAAAATAGCCTTCTGGCTAATGGTTATTATTGGAACAATGCATGAAGTGGCAGCAGAGTAGGGGTGATGGTGTTAATGTTGTTAACTCTTTTGTATCAACAGAAGGTGTAGAAGCCTGTATAGAAATGGTGAAAGAATATTTGAGAGACATGAGCCAACACTCTTACATTTGCCATGAACATGACGAAATGCTCCTTGAAGACATTTACGTGGATGTCACAATGGTTGAGGTTCAAGCTGAAAATAAGTCTGCAAAAAACGCCTCTAAGTGTTTGGACAAGGAATGCAAAATCTATGACATAGCAGAGCGAGAAAGAGGTGCTGTAAACTTGAGCAATCTCTTTGACGTTTCAGGAAAACGACCAAGAGAAACCAAAATCGTTGCCTTACTGGGGAGAGCAGGGATCGGTAAAAGTGTACTTGTCCAAAAAATCTGCCACGACTGGGTGAACGGGTCCTTCAGGCAGTTTGAGTTTGTTTTCTGGTTTAAGTGCAGGATGCTCAATTTTGCAAAGCAGAACACTTTAAAAGATTTACTTTTCCATCCATTCCTTCCGACATTAAAGAACACGGACGAGGTTTTTCAATATCTCTGTCACAATTCCCGCAAAGTCCTGCTCATTTTGGATGACTTTGAGGACTTGTACTACCACGACGGCCTCCTGCAGCCTTCAGTGTGTGGCTCAGCGGAGAGACCTCACACTGTCAAACAGCTGTTTGCTGGCCTCCTCCAGAAGAAGCTGCTGAAGGGTTGCACGATCGCTATTACAGCAAGACCAAAAGAAACCTTCAACCAGTACCTCGGAAGGGTGGACAAAATAGTGGAGGTGCTGGGCTTTCGCCCACACCACGTACAGGAATTCCTGCACAGGTACTTTGAAGACTCCTCAGCTGCTGAAGCCGTGGCATGTCTTCAGGAGCAGGGTTACCTGCTCAGCTTCTGCTCCACCCCTTTATTATGCAGATTCATCTGTTTCGTTCTGAAAGCTCAGCATCAGACTGGAGATGGGCGTTTGGTGTTACCGTCCACTCTCACTCATTTATTTCTGAACATTTTCCACGTCCTGCTCCAGGGTAAAACTCAAAATGTCGTGGCTTTGCACAGGCAGAACATCCTGGAGTTGAGCAAACATGCCTTTGCAGGGGTTCAGTGCCATTACAATGTCTGCATGACCTCCAGAGCAGTAGAAATGTCCAACTTTGCTTTGAAGCACGGCTTCCTAAGACCCTTCTTGATGACTGGCGAAGGAAAGGGGCAGGAGTGTGGGAAGACTTTCTCTCATTCTTTCCTGCAGAACTTCCTGGCAGGGCTTTACTTGTTGTTTTCTGAAGATGTCAAGTGCAAAGGGTTGATGAAGCTAATCTCCTTGGAGCACAGAAAGCGGAAATCTCAAGCGGACTGGCTCGACGTCGTTCGCAGGTTCCTGGTGGGACTGGCTTTTCAGGAAGGAAATGATTTCCTTCACAGCTTCGCCCATCATCCAAAAGCTAATGTCAAAGGCAAGAAGCAAAAGAGCCTGCAGAAATACTTGGCTGAACTCGACGTCTCTGCGCTCAGCACCAGTAAATTGCTGGAGCTTTGTCATTGTGTTTACGAAACCCAGAGCACTGAGCTGACTGAACGGGTAGCTGCTAAACTCGGCCAGAGATTGTCCTTCAGAGGCACAAGGCTGACTCCAGCTGACATCTTCGTACTGCTCTACATAATGCGGAGCTCACCGAATAACTTTGCTGTCGACCTGAGAGAAACAAACATCGACCTGACCGGAATCCAGCAGTTCGCCGAGTTGAGGAATGTCACCTCATTCAGGTTTGTCCACAGGTCTCCCATATCTGTAAACTAAATAGAGTGTCCTGTCTGCACCTCCCGCTTAACTTTAACCTTATTATTTATGCAGAACTCTAATTCTGCTGAATGCCTTTCCTCGTTGAGCTGGTCCCAATTCCTATCCCTTTTGAAACGTACTGTGTTTAATCCCCAAATGTACAACCCTCATGGTTAGAGAAGGTTGAGAGGACATTTGATGGAGCTCTTCATTCTTTCATATTCTTTCATTTGTCGTTCTTCCTGTACAGAGTGTCAGTATGTGATGCAATAAAACTTTGGGAACATTTGGAGCAAAATGGGTTACGTGAGCTGCTTCGTCAGTCACTTCTTAAATTTTCTGTGAATCCTTTCGAGATCAAGAGTTTGAAAGATATAGATGACCTTGATTTACTGGTACAAATCCATAAAGATAGAAGATTCCTTTTAAGGTGAGTAAATGCATCTCTTACTTCTAATTGACCAGTCAATGAATGTTTCTGCCTTCACTTCTCCAACCCCTCGATGTAATTTGCTTTGGAACATAACTTGTATGTAAATTACAAAAAATATTAGGAGCAAGAATTGGCCATACAGCCCCTTCAACCACTTCCACCAGTCAATAAGATCATGGCTAATCTGATTATGGCCTCAACTGCACTTTCCAACTTACTCCCAATAATCTTTGACTCTCTTGTCTAGTCAATAATCTGCCATTAACAAATAAACATGTTGCCAGAATTATATCTAGAGCTAATGTTGCGATGTACAACGAATTGCTATTCGTGATAAAAATAGATGGATATTTAATATCTTTGCATGACCTCTCTCTGTAAGTAATTTTAACCTAGATGGTTGTGCTCAAATATTCGACAGAGGAAGGGCATATTATTCGATTGGATAGTTATCTGCTAAAAATATCACTAAAATTGATGCTGAAGTCAATGTCACTTGTATAGTAGACAAATGTTTGTAAATTGTGTCACCAAGTGAATACTTAGAAATGGAAATTACGATTTGGACTCTTGTGGCTCTTCTACCATTCATTTGCCTCGTGATTTATCTGTATTTTAACTCTATATGTCCTTAGCCCTTAATACTATTTGGATTACAAAAGTCAATTAATTGCAATTTTGAAATTTTCAATTCACCCAGTCTTGGGAGCATTTTGACGGGGAGTCTCCAGATTTCTGTTTCCCAATATGTTGAGAAGTCTGTTCAGAAATCTCTGTTTTAAAAAGAAAACTCCAGTTTTCAGGTTGATATTTCCAGTTCTGGACTCTACTCAATTTTCACTCTGTCAACACTGTCAAATCTTTTCAATTATCTCAAATGTCTCATTAGATCACCTCTGAAATTTGTACTGTGGTCCTTGTTTTACGTTGCCCTGCTCAACGTGGTTTTTGTTGGCTGTCACTTTGTTTTTAGGGTCCGTTTCTTCAAATTATGTTGACATTTCTATTCACTCCATCCCCTCCCACACTTGCCTCTCACCATTGCTTCCCCTCAGTTTTGCTTCCCTCTGACTTGCCTCTCAGTGCCCATGCTTCAACTTTCCCCCCTCCCCTGCTCTTACCTTAAACCTGGACTTTCCAAAGTGAGGGTTGGGACCCTGAGTAGGGTCACAAGCTGAAATTTTGGGATCACAAGCTCCAAGGTAGCAATGTCCAACTGCACCCCCAACAACTCCATCCCCACTCTAATAGGTCTTCACTTTTCTGCTTCCCTCCCCCCCCCCCCCCACCCCACCACCTCCCGACCCCCAAAAATTGCTTTCTGTGGGGCTGTGATAGCTTTTGACCTTCGCAATGGGGTTATCGTGGGAATAAGCTTGGGAACACAGTGCCTTCAATCTTTCTCTTTGTTCTCGAGGCATCTCCATTCTCCTGGCTGCCACTCTGGCACTCTCACTGAAGGGCTCCATCTACATATAAGAAGTTGGTTACTACAGGTAGTGCCAGGATTGATGGAAGGATGGATGAATGAGTGAATCAGCTTTATTGTCGCAATGATGCAAAAACTTCCTGCGTCAACCAACATTTAGTCAATCCACAGTGAACAAATTAGTGATTTTTAAAAAAAAAATTGTACAGGGCATACATTCTGTTCTGTTTCTTTTATATTTAGGAATGTATTTTATGTTGCTATTTATTTCTGCTAGAGGTGTACAGTGCCTCACCTATATTGCCAAGTTCAACTTGTGTGTTAGTTTCTGGGCAAGAAAATATCTGGAGGAGCCTAATGCTGACTTCAACATTAATTCCTATGGGACCCCATGATTCATTTAAAATATAATTTTTTTAGGGACTGAATCGTAACCTTTAATGAGGGTTACTAGATGTTTAAATAGGGCAAAATTGGAATCTTGGGGAGATCTCTGAGATGAAGTTCTGGGAATAGGAAGAATTGCTGTTGGAAGAGGTGGTCTGGCTATGATTGGTCTCTTAAGAATGAAGAGGTGATTTAAGTGAGGTATTTAAAATGATTGGGTAAATGCAGAGAAGGCATTGCATCTGGTGGGCTGTGCAGAAACAAGGGGATTACCTTAAATTAATACTAGGCCACACTGGAATGGAATTAGGGAACATTAATTCACACAAGTGGAATGGAAATCAGAACTGAATAGCGTGGATATTGAGTCAGCTGCAATTTCCAAGACACAGATTGCTTGTTCTTTGTTCGGTCAGGATTATAGGTGGATTTAATGGAGAGGAAAATACAAATCAGTCATAGAATCATAGAATTGTAGAATCCCTACAATGTGGAAACAGGCCATTCAGTCCATCATGTCCACACTGACCCTCCAAAGAGCATCCCACCCAGGCTCACCAGCCCTGTAACCCTGCCTTTCCCATGGCTAATCCACCTAGCTTGAACATCCCTGGACACTGTGGGCAATTTACCATGGCCAACCCACTTAACCTGCACTTCTTTGGACTGTGGGAGGAAACCTACGCAGGCATGGGATGAATGTGCAAACTCCACACAGACAGTGGTGGTCTAATGTCCATGTTTTAATTAAACGAAGGAACAGGCTCAAGGGGCTGAATAGCTTCCTCCTGATCTCTGAGGGAAGCTACCTCGGTTTATTTTTTTTTTTGCATGAAGCATCTGCTTTTGTTTAAATTATGATATTCAATTTGAAAATTGAATCTGAAGTTTGTAAAAAGCAGTACATGTCTTGGTAAAATAGTTCTGCTTTTGCGTAGGGTCTGTAGTGTGAGACAAAATAAACTGATGCCATTTTGGAAAGGTATCTCTGTGTAATGAAGAAACCGTTTCATCTTTTGTGTCTTTCTTATTTTTCCCTGTAACAGCACACACGACACATCTGGAGGCGAACTCTATGAGTTACCTGCTGTCAGGACATTACAAGTGCTGGAGTTTGCGTAAGTTATGGTTTTATTATTTTGAATTGATTTGCTTCCTCAGCTTGAACATAATAATTACTAGGGTTAAGATGTCTGTTAGCTCAGGAAGTGCCTGCAGAGGATTGTGATGCAAGTTGGGTACCTACAGTTAATCTCATGCTGCTCGGCCATGTTATAACGGGTTGAGAGGACATATGGTACTTAATACAGCACAGGACAAAAAGTCACAAAACTCTGTCAGCCTGTGTTGTTCCAGCTGATTCTGTTTGTCAATGACGGGTTATTAAGTAACATAAAAGAGAAAAGAAAGTCAGTTTTGAATGGAGAAAGTTAAAAGTACACGGTTATTGGTTACAAGTGTGAAAATTATGTATTGTAGTCAACAACATTTGTAAATCTATTTGTTTCAAACTGCTGGAGTACCTAAGGAGTGACACTTTAGCCTTTTAGAACACCCAGTTCAGATAAAGAGACAGTCCTATTGTGACATCAGTTGGTTATGCCACTGCATAGTTAATCTGGGCTAAGAGTGTCTGCTCACTGCTGTATCTGTGATAATAGCAAAAGCAAAATTCTAATCTTGTAGCAAGGATCGTTTTGTATTACTCAGCTAAGAACTTCTGTAGGTACTTTAAGAAATGCATTTCTCCCACTGGCTCCCTGAAAAAAAATCCTGAATTTCTTTTCAAAGATTTATGACGTTTTCCGCACCAGAATATGTTCATGAAGTAGTAAAAACAAGACGACAAATTCCCTGTTAACCATGAACAGTGGAAGCCTTTCTCTTCTCAATCATTTCAGGAGAACTCACTGTGAAAATTCTTTAATTTTCACAACAAGTTTAGCTCTAGGAATATAGTTGATGCAAAATTCAGAAAATACAACATACTATTTCTCAATTAATAATTTCAACTATATTTTGGTAAAGACCTGCTATAATTCAATGGATACTAAATATGTTGAATTAGTTATTATAGAATCTTGCAGCACAGGGCCAGGATGTTTGGTCCATTTTGCAATTATCCCAATGGAATTCCTTTTCGATCTTCAATTCTTTTCCCTGTTCAAATATTTAGCCAATTTCCTTTTAAACGTTATTGCTTTCTAATTTGAAAGATGGTCAAGATCATAACAATTTGCCGTCTTTTCTTTAAAATGTTTCATTTTTTCCCCTGCTTTGTGTAGTGATTGGAATGAGGTCAGCCAGGCGGACCTCATAGAATATGAGTTCCTCGATTTGGGCTGTTAATCTAGTCCAATCAGGGAGCCCTGGCTGACAGATACAAACAGGAGAGTCAGGGGTTCTGTTCGCTCTTGGAGCTGGCTCTGAGCTGGTCAGTGTCATATACCGTGCACGTATAAATAAAGAGTGACTTGGTAATGGGATACCAGTCTTCATGGAGTTATTTCACTTTGCTTTGTACGTTGTGGCACGTATGTGGACACAGAGTATAAATCAACACCATTTTTCAAGTCCCAACAATCACCTTTTTGAATCGAGCCCCTGTTTCAGCATGTCAGATAGATGGTCCTGAGCAATCAACTTATGGCTTTTACTAAGGTGTAGTAAAGAGAGGGTGGCCAGCCCACTGTCTGTAGGCAGGGAGATATTTTAAACATGTTGCTGAGATTCAAAACTCGGATTTAACCTGCTTTGCAGCTTTAACTGTGGACAGCTGGGTTTCCTAAACTTGGAGAAAACTCAGCAGCTGCAGCAATGTATGGAAATGCCTCAAGGGGAAAGCAAGTGGGGAAGGATGGTGGAGTGGTGATGTTACTGGACTAGTAATCCGGAGCACCATGTGGACGTAGGCTTTGAATCCCATCACAGCAGATGGTGCAAGTTGAAAATCTGGAATTAAAAGTTAATCTCGTGGTGTCCATGCTGCAATTATCATAAAAGCTGTCAGGTTGACAGACGTCATTTAGTGAAGAATATCTGCCATCCTCACCTGGTCTGGCCTGCATGCCTCTCCAGACTCACAGCAATTTGATTGACTTTTAACTATCCTCTGGTGATTAGACTTTGGGAAATAAATTTGTCTCCATCTCTAATACCTCTCTTCCCTTCCTGGACCTCTCTGTCTCCATCTCGGGCAACTACCTAGAAACCGGTATTCATTTCAAGCCCATCGACTCCCACAGCTACCTAGAATACTCCTCCTCCCACCCACCTTCCTGCAAAATGCCATCCCCTATTCCCAATTCCTTCGCCTCCGCCGCATCTGCTCCGAAGATGAGGCATTCCACTCCCGTACATCTCAGTTGTCCTCGTTTTTCAAGGACCGTAACTTCCCCCCCTCAGTGGTCGAGAACGCCCTCAACCGTGTCTCCCACATCTCCCGCAACTCATCCCTCACACCCTGTCCACGCAATAAGAACCAAAAAAGAATCCCCCTCGTCCTCACGTACCACCCCACCAACCTCCGGATCCAACGCATCATCCTCCGACACTTCCGCCATCTGCAATCCGACCCCACCACCAAAGACATCTTTCCCTCCCCACCCTTATCTGCTTTCCGGAGGGACCACTCTCTCC